GAGAGAGAGAGAGAGAGAGAGAGAGAGAGAGAGAGAGAGAGAGAGAGAGAATGTGTAGACAGTAACCATCTCTTCCCTATTTCCCAAGGAGGATCTTTCTAAGATTGCAAGGTTGCTCACAACATAATCTGGTGCTCAAGGGAAGACGTTTCCACACACCTTTTCCTTCCACTTCTAGGGACCACATGTGAGGCTGGTGAAATCTAACCTCCTGAGTCTTAGAAACGTCTGAGAAAACATCTCAGTTGCTAGACTCAGAAGATGAAACCCCCAATCCTAGCAGATTCATGTGTGTCTTAACACTAATTCTAGGTATGCCCAAGGGACACTGTTGTGTCCTTTACAAGGCTCTAGGTTATCCCAACCTCACCAGTTCTCATTCCGGAGGAAACATGGGTTATTCTCAGAGTGTTCTACAGTACGAACAACTATATAATATACCCCTGTTCCCCACCCATACATCCTATGGCTAAATGTGTTTCTCTAAAATTTATATTGAAATCTAATTCCCCACTGGAGCAGTATTAGTGTTAGAGACTTTGGGCATGCTTAGATTATATAACTGTCTTCCCAAGTGGGGTTAATAAAACCGGAGTAAAAGAAGGTGGCAGCAGCACCTCTAACCTTTGGCTACAGGAAGATGGAACACAAAGGTGCCATCTTTGAGTCATACCCTTACCAGACATAACCTACTCCTGTATTGATCTTAAACATGCCAACCTACTGCTATTTGTAAATTGCTTCATCTAAGATGTTTTGTTACAGCATCCCAAATGGACAAAGACACTCCCAAGGCTTACCCCTTGAACTTGGGAAGCATCTGTAGCAAGCCTAGTTGTCAGTACTCCAGGATTATTTTTGAGGTCATCGAACCAGCCGATCTCTTGTCCTAACATTGCCTTGAAACCAAATTTGCGCAGCCTCTTTGTGAGGAGCTCTCCAGATTTGGCAAAAGTGTAACCCTAAAAACATAAAGAAGGAGTCTTTGGTGAGACTTTTACCTGAAAATGGGGGTCCAGAGGCAAATCACTTAATGAAAAATAAAATTACCTGCAGAAATTGTGTGAAAATGGATACACAGCCCAGGATGACAAAGAATAAGCACATGTTGTAAATCTCTGACCTTTGTTTTTCTTTATCGATGACTGAAAACATCTTTGAAAGATAATAAGTAGGGAAGAAAGCTTGTTATTATAAACAACAACAAAATAAATCTCTTGAATATGTTAAATTAAAGAAATTTTCACATTTGTTCAATCCTATAGAACGTCAGTAAGAGTGAACTTCAACATTAATATAAAGACAGAGGATCATCATGTGTCAGTGCAGAGCATCAGCTGTACCGAATGGGGCACTCCAGTCAGGGATGCCGATGATGGAGGGAGTCAAAGAAGCTGATGAGGGAGAGAAGGAAAGATGCTAATGAGGGAGGAGGCAAGGAGTACATGGGAAATCTCTGGAACTCCCTCTTAATTTTGCTGTAAAACTAACACTGTCTGTTCAAAAACACTTTTAAAATGGCTTCACTTTAAACACACTAGTTTCCAAACCAAAGTTAGTGATAAAGATTATGATACATTTTTAATTGTCTTTGTGGCAGAGTTCCTGGAAGATTTAAACCAATGGCAACAATTACAGAAGCTGCCTCTGTACACACACACACACACACACACACACACACACACACATCACTAAGTTGGTTTGATTTAAGCAGTGGTGTTGGCTTTTCCTCTGACATAGATGAAAAATGAAGAAAGAAAGTATGGCCATATCATAGTTATCCTTTAAGAAGTAAGGGAGCAAAGAGAGGAGAAGGAAGAGAGGGAGGAAAAGGAGGAAGAGGGATAGAAAGACATTATTGAGAACTTGAGAATACCAGTCTTCAGGAAAACATGGTTATTATTTTGACTCTTACTTTGCTCAACTAATGGACACAATAAAGATGATTTTTTTAAACTCATGAAACTCATCCTGTGCTTTATTATATGTATGTATAGTGTACTACATGTATAGTCTTACACATATAAATTAGTTTATAAATATATATATATATAATCAACCATCTATTGCACAATGGACTGTCCTTAGCCTAGGAAAGAAAAGAAAGTGAAATCTGATCCTGCTGCTGTTATCCTATAGGAAACTGAAACTCTTCTTTCCTTAAAAGGCCATGGACATTGTGACTAGAGTTTTTAAGGTTTATTTTGATTAGTAAATGATATTCTTAAATATGTGATGAATATACTGTCAGTTCCTTAAGCACCTAGCTGAGGAACAAGGTGTTGCAGTAAGAAAGCAGAGTAAACTGAGTGTCTTCTGGTGGCAAAGATCTTCAGTGAAATGGATTCTTGTCATAACAAAACCTTTGTAATTCAGACTAAACAACATAACTAAGAGAATTCTGGAAATGAATGGATTGGAGAGATGTATAATAAGTTCTTATTTATTCTCTCTCTGTCTTTCTCCATCTCTCCGTCAGTGTGTCTATCTGTGTGTGTGTGTGTGTGTGTGTGTGTGTGTGTGTGTGTGAATTAGCCATTTTGCCAGTGAGCTCTGAAGAGGATCGCGTCTGGTCCCCCTGCTCCTGGATTACATGTGTGAGTCACCAAGCGCATATGGATTTCATATGGATTCTGGGGATTGAAGTCACACTTGTACATTAGCATGGTAAACACTTTATTGACTCTAGTCTAACAGTTCTGAAATAATTTGAATAGCTAGAACAATGCCAGAATAGAGTGACTCAAAGAAAACCAAACACATATTTGCTGAATACCTACTATGTCCAAATAAATCTCAAAAACAATACGTAGAGTACTGCATTAGTAAAGCTTTTCTGTGAAACAAAACAGCATGTTTCTATTTTTTCCATGTGTCTTGTCTCTGACTCAAATATACATAGAAACAGAAAATACAGGTTTCAGGACACTCAATGTTTAATGAATAATAATGCTTGATGCCAGAATTAGATGTATTGAAAAAGGGAAACAAAACTGTCTCCCTTCACCATCAGGGCAAAGTTTACAAGCTTAATCAGTTTTGATTTTATTTTTCATCATCACACATCTTATAAAAAAAATCTATAATGCTTTGGCATTGATAGTTCAGTACTAGTCATTGTTTCTGCCTGATGTTTATGTAATCAAAGAGTTTTTGTTTGTTTGTTTAAATTCCAGGTCTTAAAGAACAGCTAAGGCAACTGTAATGACAGTTTTTAAACTGTATTATATAAAATGTGAAAAGGTAAAAATAAAAGTGAAAAAAACCTGTTCTGGATTGAGCATAAATTGCAAGCAGAGAAAAACAGAAACAGAAACAGAGAGAAACAAATACACACACACACACACACGGGAGGAGAAGAGGTTGGCTCTAGATTAATGAGATTTTACTGTTTCTAGGACAGTTTCTATAGCTTTTACACTTTCTAGAATATGGATTCTAAGACACCACAGTAATTCTTAACAGACTTGTGCAACCAACTAGTTCACAGAATTTACAGTTCAAGATACTAAAAAAATATATCTATACAGATATTCTTGAAACCTCAAAGTGTTATGCAGCAATGATCTCTCCCCCACAAAGACCACCTACTATACCTATGGGTTACAGATGAGTCCACCTAATTCTCATAGAAAACCAAGGTCACAAACATTTGTCTGAGTCCATTCATCTAAGTGTTATTTATGAAAAGGAAGTCCCCAGTTTCCAGCTTTTTTTTAAATTCTGAGTGTGCCCTTTGGCTTATGGCAGTATCTACATAGTCCAGACAGAGAAGCTGGCTAATGTGAAAATACACATGACTCTTTAGTTCAAGATTAAGCCTTTATCTTGATTGGATTAAGACTTTACCCATAGTCTTTTTGTCACAAAATCTTGTTCCATGAATTCTTTGTACATTCTTAGGTTTGAAAAGCAGTCCAATAGACTACCCATCCCTGGAACCCTGTGTTCTTAGACTGACTGTGACTCAGAAACACATCTTTCTTTATTTTTTTGTCATGGTAAAATTTGCATAAAGAGAAAAGCACCCAGGAAATTCTTGCTATGTGTCGGATATCAAATATGTGACTTAACCAATCTTAAATTAGGATTTCCTTAAAATTAGGATTCTCACAGGAACCCAGGAGTAGGTTTCTTGTTTCATATTAATGCAATGTACACAAATAATATAGAGACATAAAACTATCCCACAGCTGGCTGTTTCTTGTGCCTATGTTTTTCCAGCCTGCCACATTCGACTTGCAGTGGCTTGAACAGTTGACACATCTTCCCTTTGAAACAGACCCAGGGAAAGTAAAACTAATTCATTATATTTTTAGCTGTGTATGGAGGCTTAGGTAGGTTAGCCACCAGGTTTCTATTTGTGCACATTTAATGGGCACATGTGTGTTCTAATATGCCACACATTAATACAATACTCTTTAAGTGTGGCAGGATAAAAGCAGGGCGATTAGAAACAGACTCCTGAACCCCTGTGAGATGAAAGCATCATGAGTATGATGATGAGAGTATAATCATTATGCTAAGACAAATAGAAATAATCTTCCTTAGCCCAGGGAGATTCTGTGATTTCTTCAGCCTTCTTCCTCTTAGTGAATGTAACGCTGAGAACATTAATAATAAACCAGGGTTGGCTTCCAGCAACTAGATCCCACTTATGTTGCTGTAGAAACCCTCAATGAAAGTTTTATTGCCCAGTCTAACTCCATCCCAGTGTTAAATGGAAGAGTCCCAGGGTCACAGGAATGGAGTTTCTGTCACTAACAGAGAGGAACACAAGTTCAGCAGATAGTATCTGTGTAGTCCAGACCGAGTAGCTGGCCAATGTTAAAACCCACATGACTACCCATCCTTAGAAGCCCCTAATTCTTAGACTGTCTGGGGCTCAGAAACACATCTTCTTGCTTTGTCATTACTTTTCCTGATTTGGCCAATTCACAGTTCTAGAGCTAGAATATGCCTTCAAGGTCATCTTTGTCAACTTCCATTTTATAATTGAGGAAACTGAGTCCCAGAAAATGGGATAAAGTAACTCTAGGACATAAAGGACACGGCAAGGAAGTAGCAGAGCCAATTTTAGGGCAAAGGCCTCTTGGAACTGAAGAAACTTTCTAAAGGAGCTAACATAGTCTGAGGAACATTGAGTGAATATCTTCTTGGTTCCACTTTTGTTGAGGTCTAACAAGATTAGCAGGTCTAGACATTCCTCTCTCAGCATACTCAAAAGACTCAGCTTCCTGCTGCAGAGACACTTGTATATTCATGTTCAATGGCAGCTCTGTTTTAATAGTTAGGAAATAGATGTCCATGAACTGATGCCTAGGTAATGAAAAAGTGGTTCAGGCACACAATGGAATTTTACTCAGCTGTGGCACTCCCCCCCCCCCACGTAAGCTCAGAGTGCATCATAAGAGCTGCAGGATTAGAAGAAGTGTTATGAAATGCAGTCTTCTGAATACACATGGCCATTGCACTCATGGTCTCAAACAGCTGTGTTGACCTGAACAAATCAAGCTTGTCGACACTGAATATGGACTAGGGAGAGGCCCACAACATCTCATTTTAATTGATGAGGTATTGGTGCTTAATGTCTGTTGGAGAAGTGGAAGTAATTTTTTTTTAGTGTTATAGCTTCTGGTAAAGTTACCCAAGCTTCAGTAAACAGCCCCCGACTCCTGCTCACGTAAGCAACTGGAATTAAACTCAGTGGGTCCTTTAACAAAACATGAAAGTGAGAGGGGGTTTTCTTGGGAAGGAGTTCAAAGGGTATGGGGGGCAGGTAGACTAAAAGAGGGTAATGGGGAGGATATGACCATACTCTATTGTCTGTGTGTATGAATTTGTCAAAGAATAAATACTTTTAGAAAGAGAAAATCAGTGAAGAAGTCAAATTCTAGGTTTTCTTTATACCACAACATCTCAGTGTAGGCTTTTACATTTCATCTCTACTCTTTCTTCTAACATATGTTTATCTTGCTCAACAAGGTCCCACTCAGACCCTCTCTCTGCTGGAATGGCAACCAAAGAGGCAGGCTTGATCTTGTCCTCTATCCCAGACAAATACCAGAAGGATGGGCAGTAAACAAGCCATGGGTACATATTTGTTGACTGGTGGGTGATCTCTATTATCTTTCTGTCTAATCAGCATCTTCCTC